AGCAATGCCTGGAGGAACTCACCATGCCCCCACAAAAGCCGAAACCCACATCTGGCTTCCAGAACAAGAAGGCGCCTGCATACCAGCAGGGAGGTGTGTGTGTGTTGGGAGGGGGTGCAGGGCAGCTGATTAGCAGAGCTCAGAGCAGGAGCCTTTTGCAATACCTGCAGGGAGCTCAAAAGCCATCTCCCCTCCCTGCCAGAAAACTAACAAACATTCTGAGTATTTTTTCCATCTCACTAACAAATGCCCCTTGAAGAGGCTTGTGTTGACTCCCTGATAAGAAGGAAAGGTCAAATGGCCCCAGAGACAATGGGGAAAAGGCACTCTGTTATCAGGAGATACAGCCTTTGCTCCTAAGCAGCCCTCGGGAGGTCAGGGCTGGCCCTTGCAGGGGACGGTCTGTCCTCTGCCAGGAAGGACCCCAGCAAGTTAATAGAGCCATGCCCCACCTCTGGGATCTGGCGGATTTAATGTAAAGCTTTCAGGAAGGGTCTTGTTTCCATTTAAGCCTTGTGGTGACATCAGGCCTGGACAGACCATCAGGATGAATGGCCAAGGCCTCCCCTGCCTCAGCTCCTGCCCCTGCCCCTGCCCCTTGGTGGCCTACAGCCAACATGCCTTTGACCTAGCTCGTGCCAGAACCTGGCACCCAGATATAACACAGACCCTTTTACCAGCCCCTTGGTCCTTGTGTCCTGTCTCTCCCTGCCATGGGGCCCCAGGGACCAGCATGGGAGAGATCACACAGCCCCAACAGGGGAAGGAGTTTCTTTCTCCTTTATAGAAGCTGAAAGTCCTGGGGAGCCAACACAGTGGGGAAGGACTTTCCCCAGAGCAAGCAACCCTGCCTGGCAGTGATTTTCCATTCAAACATAACAGCGGGCACAGAGCACTACATAAGTGACCCAGGGATCCCTGGGGGAACACAGCTGAGTCTGCTCTGCAAGAGGGGGGGAACGCGGCTGAGACGTCTGCTCTGCAGGGAGCGCCCTGGATTCCCCTTCACCGCACCAAGAAAAGACTGCACGTAGGATGGAGAAACCCAGCTCGGAGATCCCGCAGCAGGAGGGGGAGGGGGAAGGCTCACCCTATGTCTGAACTGATGGGGCACCCCAAAGAGATGGGGGTAAGCTGGCCACCCGCCCAAATTACTGCCACACTTGCTCCCAAACCATGGGCATCCCACACCACATCTCCTGGGCTTGGCTTAGGGCCTGATCCAAAACCCAGCAAGAGCTGGCGCAGCTGATTTTACAGGGCAGCCCTGAAGCATTGTGCTAGTGCCCTGTGTCCCGCCCAGCACCTCCATCACCCGATGGAGACGCAATTCCCACTGCTTACGAAAACAAGTGACCTTTGACCCTCCCAGGACATGAATGCAAATGTAACCCCGTTTCCCCTTGAAAGGAGACAAGAAAAGCCAGCCCTGGCGCAGCCTCTGCTGCACACCTCCCCCGCACAAACATGGGCAGAGGGCACACGCTGGTTTCTCCTTCCAAAGCAGCACAGCAGACACTTCCCATAGGGCTGGCGTGGGCATTCAGGGTGATACCCACCCTGACAGCTGGCCAACTCCCAGCACGTCACTCTCCAGGGGCAACGTCCCCTCTCCCCACCACCCTGCTGCCTGACCCAGGCGACTCTCCTTCTAGCAGCAAATCTTGGAATAGGAAATTACATTTTGGTTTGGAACAACAGCGCCCTGAGCCTCCCACTTCCCCTGACGGTTGGGGGAGGGAGGGGGCAAAGACGAGGAGCTGTATTACACAAGCCTTAAATCCATCAGCTTGTTTTGCAAGCGGGTCCCTAACCCACCCGCTCTGCAAGGGCCCTGGGAAGGTGTCCAGGAGGGGAGAGATTCAAAAGGGCTTCTCCTGCCAGCAGGGCAGGGGAGAGCCATCTGCTGGCATGCACGAGTTGTCATCCTGGCAGCGCCCATGCTGCTTCAACCCCTGGGGGTGGGATGTGGCACATTCAGCTGCCCTTGGGTGGGCTGGAGCTCTCCCAGGCAAGGATGGGAAAACCTTACTTTGTATCTTGGGCATCACCCTTTTAGAAGACTCGTGAGCTGGTGGGGGAAGCAACCAGCTCTGACCTAGGGGCGTAAGAGGAATAGTGGGGCTCTGTGACTGCCCCACCTACAGGGACAGGACCCCCAAAGTCTCAGAAAGATGTACAGGAGGGAGGGGGAGGTTTACTTGGAGGTGGTGAACATACTAAACAGTACCCCCGTTCTGGCATCCAGGCATCTGGCTGGGAGCACCCGCACCCCTCCCCTCCCCCAGCCCTATCTCTAGGGAGGAATAAAGCCGCAGTGTACTATTTAGTTAATTGGATTTTGTCAGGGCGCTTATCTACCCAGGATCTAAATATCCTGCTGGGCTGGGGCCTCCTTCCCTCCTTTCCCCAGCCTGGAGGTGGGAGGGTAGGGCTCTCGCAGACAACTGCCTTCCTGTAGCCACCCGACTCCGGCCTGGCAAGGCGCTGTCCCCCTGGCCCGGGTGCTAAAGCAGGGAGGTTGGGACGCACTAGGATGAGGGGGCGATGGCACCCGCGCAGCACGGGGGGCATCAGCCCTGGGGGGAGTAAGGGGAGAGGGACGGAGACAGAGGAAGACAAGCGCAGCCGACTGAGAGAGGGGGCTGCAGGGCAGAGCCACCGGAGGCAGCGGGACCCCCACCCCTGCGCCGGCCCCGAGGCGCAGTACCTACAGTGGCTGGAGCCGGTCCAGAGCTGGCTGCGGCCGGGTGGGCCGTAGGGGCCGGGGGTGCCGATGCCTTTGTCCTGCAGGAGGCAGCCCCGGCCCTGGCTGTAGAAGTCCATGGCGAGGAAGGGGCCGGGGGTCAAGCCCGCCACGTCCACGCCCTCGTACATCCCGGCGGCGGGGTGGGCCGGGGCCGGGCGGTCCCGGGGCCCGCCTAGCCCAGCGGGGCGAGGCCGGGCGGGCC